AAAGGCATAAATTACTCCAATGTGCATGTTGTGTTCCAGTACTCCAGGTGTCTTCTGCGTATTGGCTTTGGCCAGCCCAAAAACCATTTCGCTTGAACCGTATTAGCCCTACTTGTTTGAGCTTCGTAGAACGCCACTTTTGCTTCTGCCCGCAGTGTGGACAATTAATGAAGAAAAGCTATCGTCGTTTGTAATTTAGCTTTAAGAACGAAAAAGCAATGACTTAAACACTAGACAATTTGAAGATTATACAGTCATCAGCTGAATATCAAGTCATAAAATATGAATCAAGTTCACTTGTTTGTTTAGCAGATACGAATTCGAAAATGCGAACGTGTCAAATTATACGAAGGGAAAGCATGTACAATAAAATATTGTTTCAGTTTTTGCAAGCGTGCTTTAAAATATTTAAAAATGCGCGCCCTTGAGTAGCACACGTGCACAAGTTCACCCGTCACGGCTCGCCTATTTCTTTGACTAATTAGACTTAGGCAACCAATAGCACAAAGTTAGTAATTAGTTAGCTAGCTATCTATTTCACGGGTACAATTATCGTAGAATGATAAGTTATACACCGTAGTGAAAATAGTAACTGACGTTTCAGACGTTAGTCCTTCGTCGGAGTCAATGGGTATATTATTCACGGGTATATTATTTCACGGGTATATTATTTGCACTCTATTAGTAATACTAACTTACACTATTTTATGCTAATTCTATTGTTTTCTTTTGTTTAACTAGCACTATTTTGAACAATTTAGGAATAAGAGTTTCACGGATATATTGTTTGCACTCTATTTCGTAGATTTTAGGCACGCACCAATTCTTACAGAGCCTTAGCAACATTGTGCACGTCTTTGCTTGTTGCCAGTAATTAAAAACCACAGCGGTATTTGGCTATTTCAAAACAGTTTACTTCAATATGTGTTCTGGGAATAATGTGGATAAAAAGGGTGACCCCCTTAAATAAATGAGACCACCCCCCCCCCCCTCCTTTCCATAAATCCGCCCATGGATAAATTTTTCTATAATCATTTTATCTGTTTAGGTTTTTGGCCCTGCCCACCCCAAAACCGAAGGTTCACAGGACCCTGCGGCATGACTTCTGTCACTAATATGAGATTGAATATTACGGAGATATTAGGCACGCAGCAATCCTTACAGAGCCTTACCAACATTGTGTACGTCTTTGCTTGTTGCCAAGTAATCAAGGAACACAGCAGTATTTGGCTATTTCAAAACAGCTTACTTCTGTGTTCTGGGGATAATTTGGATAAAAAAGGTGACCCCTTTAAATAAATGAG